ATAGACAGACAGACAGACAGACAGACAGACAGACAGACAGACAGACAGACAGACAGACAGACAGACAGACAGACACATATCAGCAGATTCTAACTCCATGCAATCTTATTACTTACCTGTTGCTTTTCTATCCATCTGGCTCACCCAAAGTTCAATTTCCAATTTATTTCTAAGTCTAAAATAGAAAAAAAAGAGAGAGAAACTTCTTATGAAATCCAAGCAAGTTGCATGGTTTTTCCACCCATTGAAGAAGGGAAGAAGCTGATTGTAGGAAATATTGTTACTAAGTTTGCTAACAATGCAAGAATTGGCTCAGTGTTGCAAGCAGTTACTCTCCCACTTTTTTTTGGGGGGGGGGGGCAGAAGGTTATCCTTCCAAACAAAAAAGTAGCCTTGAAGCACATGTCCATATAATATATCCTCAGTCCATAGATTGGGTTCAGAGGCATTCTTAGAAAATAAGTTTAAATATAGCAGCCCACATATTGAATTTTAAAAGAATTAAGATAATATTTTTTTTAAAAAAAAACGAGTATATCAGGGAGTCTGATAGACAATAAAGGATGGATTCATGGATAGATTGGGATCCATGACACCATGCTGAGAAGCACATATTTATGTCATGATGCTCTTGGCTGCCTGGCAAATACTATGTGCAAGATATAATTTGAACGAATTTGAAGGAAGTATAGTTGGAAGGAAGGGAGGGAGGGAGGAAGGGAGGGCATACAGTCCATATCTTCAAAAACCCAAATACAAATGACAATGGCAAACTGTCGTTATCTGCTTAGAAAAAGGTCTGTTTAAAGCATGCACTTTAAGCATAAGTTGGTTCAAATGTACATATGGCAAAGGAAAGAATATAAATCTAAAAGGATGATTTAATTGGTTAATATGAAAGAATGAATGAGGTGATGAGAGCTTCTGAATGAGGTGCAGACCTTTTATATGGGGGTTGTTTTTTATGTATAGAATCAAATGTGCATCTTGAGAAAGGAATGATGTGGGAAAAGATGCTGCACTTGACATAAAAAAGAGACCAATTGACATCTCAATAATTAAAAATGATATACAAATAACAAACCAGGAGAGTTTGTGGATAATTTTCCTGTAGTATATTTACAAAAGAAGCCTGTTAAAGCTCTGATTAATTTTGTAAGGAGGGAGAAAGAAAATCAAATGAAAGAAAATCAAATTCTAGTGCAGGGCTGTCAAAATCATGGCCCACGGGCTGGACGCATCACGCGCTGGTCACACCCATGCCCAGTTTAGAAAGGGGGGGGGAAGTCCTGATATATGATGCTGCCATGATGACGTGAGTTCGACACCCCTGTTCTAGAGCATTATTTGAAGGGACCTAAAGATCAAGATTGATAAACTAAAAGAAACAAATATAAAATTGATCCAGGGTAAAATAAATATATTGTTATCTCTTGTAACCCTTACTGGATTTTTGCTGACCAGGGCTGTACAATGAAGCTTTAAGGATTTGTTTAGATAAGAGATATGGGAAGAAGAAGAGACCATTTGTAGCATTTTAAGAAAAGATGTTAAGTTACTAAAACTGTTTTTACTTGTTGCAAGAAAAGGGAAAGTTACTTTTTTATATAATTCTTTTCTTTTTCGTTATTATATTTTTATATTTTCTCCTTTTTCTCCTTTCTTTCTACATATTCTATTTTTCTTTTTATTGGGTTATTTTTAGTTTGTATTCATTTTTTACCATTGTAAATGAATCATTCCATAGTGCTTTACAACACTCTCTGAGTAGTTTTTACAAATGTCAACATATTGCCCCCAACCATCTGAGTACTCATTTTATCAACCTCATCCTACTGACCTTGGACATTTGGAAGGCTGAGTCAGGATTGAACTCCAGGTGGTGGCAAGAATTAGCTTGAAATACTGCATTCTAGCCACTGCGCCACCAGGTTCCTACTCCACAACTACAAAATCTGCTCACAGGCTATTTAAACAACCCCACTGAATTTGATATAGCTTAAGAAGGAAAAGTGTCCAATGCATTTCACAGCTGGAAAGTGATAAAGTTTATTTATTTCTAAGAAGATTGTTACAAGTGTGTAACTGGTAGCGAATCTCTTGGAACAACAAATTAGGCACATTTTCTTGACTGCAAAAATAATATTATGTGATATGTAAAGATCTTTAGAAGGACCTATTTTGAAAAATCCATTTCAAAATTCTGGCTGCTCATTTTCCCAATAGCATATAAATATTCCACGTTTACACAACTCACTCTTCATTTCTTGCTAAAGCCAATTTACTTTTCTGCACAAGGTCCTGTATTGTCTGTCTGCTCTCTTCTATTTCATGAGTCATCACCATTCTTTTCTTCATGCCTTTGACTTGCTCTTGCAAGGTCTATTTTGTTACACCCCCCCACAAAAAAAGAAAGAAACCAAATGAAATATTTAAATCATAAAGAAAGATAATACCTATAGCAAAGCTAGCTTATGCATTTTTCTTCTTTCTTGGACATCTTACAAATCTGTATTTCCCACCAAGTATTAAGATTTAGTTTACAACCAGGTTGGGGAATCTATAGATTAACACTATAGATAATGCTGTTGTTCAGTCCTTAACTTTAGCCTGTAAAGTCAATAAGGAAGAATCCTGGGATTTACCCCTCAAGGACATCTTGATTACTACTTCCCAACACCATAGTACAACTTTCTTTTCATTTTGATGTAAGAATGTAAATCAATAATATTAGTACAATGGTTATATAAAGCTATCATGTTAAAAACATATCAAAAACATATTCCAAGATATGCCCATTATCATGCATCTCCTAACACTCAGACATAAGTTCTAATCATTTGATGTGGAAAACAATATTGTTTACATTATATTTTCACACAGGTAGAATAGGTTCTTATTTGTTGTACATCATTTGAGTGCTGAATATACTTCACTACAAAATAAACGAAAAATAACGAATTGAAAAATATAATGTCTGCAATGATGTGTGATGATTTGAAAGGACTCTCAAGTCTGAATTAAGGAGCATTTCCCCCTTATATGGAAACTTGCACATAGTCATGACACAAAGCATCAAGAGGGGTTTTCTTAACAGAAGGTGTAGAAGGTGTACAAGAGCCTTCAAGAAAGATAGTCTTATACCTGTGATTATTTATAGAGACAAAAACATTAGGTGTGCAGGGGGTGGGCTTCAAAAATTTTAGCAAGGGGTTCTCTGCCCGGTTGCTGGGTGGTCATGGCCATGGTGGGCATGGCCTAGTTGGCCTCCTGCACCATGGTAGGGGGTGTTTTTGCCTTCCCCAGGCTCTGGAGGCCAGAAACAGTCCCATTTCCGGTCTTCCTGAACTTCCGGCAGGCCTGTTTTTCGCCTTTCCTGAGCCTCCATGCGCGCCCTGCACTTGCCTGCATCCAAAACGGGCCGTGTGGTGATTTCTGGGAGGGGCAGGATGGGGTGGGTGGAGCCAGCCAGGAGTGGGATTTGGGAGTTCTCCAAAGTGCACAGAATCTTAGCTAGAGGTTCTCAGAACCCCTGCAAACACCCAGCAGCCCACTATAGCTGTGTTGTGTTTGTGTCTGTGTGCATGAGGAGGGAGGGAGGGAGGGAGAGAGAGAGAGAGAGAGAGAGAGAGAGAGAGAGAGAGAGAAAGATGCTGCACATTTTTCAAGATGAGTTACAAATTCAGACCACCTTGAAATTCAACACAGGAAGATATAGACTAAACTGAAAGATGAAGCAGATGAGAGGAGTGTTCCTTATGCAGTGAGGAGGAATGTTTTTAGTGTTCTCCACTTTAGTGATTTTCCAGGAAGAAGTCTAAAGAATTAGCCTGTTGTGTTATATTTGCATTTAGGTGTCCATCTAAAGAGAGGAGTTCCAAAAAACTGATTCCCTCACTAATGATAGTCTAAATTTGTGCAAACTATTCAGCCCCTTCAGTTGGACACTGTAAAACAAATGTACTAAACAGTGCATTCCATTAACAATGCTTTCTATTAGAGATAGAAAGAAATCCCAGATCAAAGATGAAAATAAAATAAGAAATACTTGGGTGATATGGTCTCGGAAGCCAGGGACATTGAGAACATGATTTGCAACAATAAGGTATCCATTACATATCACCACAAAATAATAAAAACAAAAGAGTTCTGGCAGTAGGCATTAATTTAGATCAAAAGAAAATAGTGTTACTCTGTATTGCATTGCAGGCAAAGAATCCAGCAGGATCACCATGTAGAGCTCATATTCATTCTGTAGAAAAGTGCCAAAAAAAAAGAACAAGTCGGAAAGAGTTTGCCAGACAGTTAAACAAAATCCAAGTTTAGTGTAAGACACACTGGAAACAAACTGTGATTAAACTATTCTAAAATAAATTTGCCCACTGAATTGTTTAAACATTGTATATTTCTGCCTTTAAATTAACTGATGATAAATTAATTGATTGGAACTTTATGCATGTTTTACAGAAGTAACTACTACTGTATAAACTCCTTTCAGTATTTACAAGATTTTTGCTTCATTTTTGTCATTATTTGTGTATTAGCAAAATAGTTTGTCAGAAATTATGATACTATTTAACCATGGTACATTTAAGGATAAAATCTCATCTGTTTAGACACAGGTTCCTTCCAGACTGCAATAACATGCCAAAATCTGCAATAACATACCAAAAGCAAATTACATTCCAACAGTATTTCAAAAGATCTATGGTGGAAATACATACATTCACACCTCTTCCATCATCTGTCTAATGCAGGGGTGTCAAACACAAGGCCCGCAGCTTAAATCTGGCCTACAGGGCCACCCTGGAAACAATGAAGAACTGGCTCATGTTACTTATGCATGCAGCCCTCCCAAGCTCCATTTTCACGGGCAGAGGGTTGCAGGAGTCCAGTGCAACTGAAATTGGAGCCTGTTTTCACTGGCGGAGTGCTTGGGCCACCACAAGTGTCCCGGACATGAATGATGTCAAGCTGGCCACGCCCACCCTGCCATACCCACTGTGGCACCCTGAGGTCAAACACAACCCTGATGTGGCCCTCAATGAAATCAAGTTTGACAACCCCTGGTCTAATGCATTCCAAGCTACAAATCAGACCCTAAACATGTCAAGAAGCTGTAAAGACTTTCTCCTTTCTCCTTCTTTTCTTCCCATTGAAGAACATCTAATTTCAGTCCTGACATTGCAGAACTTTCCTCTCTCCGCCCCGCATCCATCCATCCATCCATCTATCTATTTATCTATCTATCATCCCTATCCATGTCTATCGTTTCTGTATCTATCATCTCTATCTATTCTGGTGTTATTATTTGTATAAATAAAACAGCAAACATGCCTAATATTCCTCCCTTTTCCTCCTTTACCCACAACAATTGTATAAGGTGAGTTGGGCTGAGAAAGATAGACCGGCCCAAAGTTACTCAGCGGCCTAAGGCAAGCCCAGAATTCATAGTCCCCTGGTTTCTCACCCAGTGCCTTAAGCAGTAGAGCCAATTAGGCCTTTTATAAAACATTTTACATTTTATATTTTTAGAAATGTTATAGAATATTGTTTTATAGAAGATAACCTTTTATTAATCTTTGCATCGAGTTGGCTGAGTTACCTAAGACATTTTAAAACACTAGGAACAACACCTACTTTCACTTCCTTCAATATGTCACCAAATATCAAGGAACTATTACAGATATCTTCAAACACTTGACCAATAGCCTGTAATCGATAGAAATGTGGACGTCTGCAATCACAGATATTCTGAAGTGCCTGAAAGACAATCCATTTACAGGTTTACTTTCGTTGTTTTGGCTTGATTTCTACATGCAGTCTATGAAGCAAATCAAAAAATTATTATGACCAATTATTTATCAGCACAAATATAAATATAAATATAAATATAAATATAAATATAAATATAAATATAAATATAAATATAAATATAAATATAAATATAAATATAAATATAAATATAA